ATAACATAGCATGTGATTTGTGTATGCCGCCAATCTCAACATAGATAACAGATTGATTTCAATCAGAAACATATCAGCTAAGGAGCTGGCCATGGGAAACTTCAGCGTTACTTTGCTTCATTCAGCTCAACTAACATTCGACCTTTTATTTAATTCATAGAACCCGCCGACATTTTTAGAAAATTTCATGTATATTATGTAATGATGAAGGAAAATGACATGAAAGCCTGTACAGATAGTCTTCAAAAGACCTAAAATGCCCATATTCAATTGTAAAAGTTTCTAAGAGCAAACTATTTCCTGAACCTTCACTTCACTAAACGAGAGTTACAATGCTGGTATTCTTACAGGTGACATTTTGGTGCATACTAAATTTTAACTGGTAACTGCACTTTCTATAAAACCAAGTAGGAAAGCGGCAACTATAAGAAATCTGCTAATTTCTTCTGTTTGAGTGTCTGTGAATACGAATAATTAATAAACCATTTCTCTTCTATGCTCGTGATGTGCACTCCTGGACGCATGAGAAAACCGAGATTTTGATTGATGTCTTCTTACACATAATAACGGGCAACGACCCGTAGCATACGTTGTTGTCTGCCTATGTGAAGATTGCGTAACGCCCACATGACTATATTCGTAGAATTCTCTATTAATAAACCTTGAAAACCCATGACTTTTTTTTTCCTAGAAAAAATAGAGAGTAAATGATTTCGTCTGTTCACATGTGACTTGCCAATATTTAAAGGGTATTTTGGTAGTATTACTCTGTATATGGGTGTTACCGTGTCACATTTCAGTTTCTCGCAACTTACATTTTGCCGTTGTGTCATTAGACTTGTCACAAAGAATAAAAGCGACATTTTTCAGAAATGAAGTTGTTCATCCTTCCCGTTCTCTTTGTGATTGCAACAGCATATGTCACAGTAATGTTATGGTTACTAATTATTGCTGATTATTGGACCAATCAGTCTTCTTTCCAGAATATAAGCAATGAAGGCAAAGATGAGGATTTGGCAGCTCGCATTTCGACTGATATTCATGGTCACAAGGTTAGGATATATTTTAAAAACCGTGTACTTTTAAAGTAATTGACAAAAAGGGGATTAAGATAAAGTTCTATTAAATGACTGCTATGTAAATCACAGTCAAGCTCCCTTTAACGTCATAACACTCAGTATCTCTAATGTACCACATATAACCCAAATATATCATAAGAACTATTCATGCGCATCCATCCGTACAATTTGTCATTTGTTTGAAGTAATAAATCACTCAAATAAGCCATTAATAACATTTGAAGTCAATAAGTGGAAAAGAAGGTTGCGAATTGACAGCGCAAGCTGGCTTGCAAGAAAAACTGCACTCAGATGTTATGCGCTTTTAACACTTTAGAATCAAAAGAGCGTAGAAGCGTTGCATAGTTACGAAGGTCGCGCTATATCAAATCTTTAATTAATAATTTGAGGATATTACTATTTTAGATCCTAATTCAGCAGGATTAGATAAGAAAAAGCGTAGGTTGCCACAATAAGTTCGACATCCAAACTCCATTCCAGCATCCATTCATAATGTATAGTAGAAAGTTTGGAAAATTTTGAATTTATAGTTTAATTCATATTACTTTCGCCATAACTCATTTGTAACAAAAAAGTTTAAAAAATTAGGAAAAGCGGATCATTTACCTCTTAGGGCAATTTTAAATCTAGTTAATGTTGCAGCGGTTCCTTAAAACGCTTGGAGAAGTTTTTAAATAGTTCAGTAATACCTGATAAATTCGCTGTCATTTTGATTGAAGTGGAACTGATGATAGAAATTATAGAGAGCGAAGACAAAATTCTAGTGCAAATATGAAGGAAAAAAATATACAAAAAAGAGAGTATTCTTCTATAAATTCTATTAGTTCTCCTCGGAAACTGAAAAATTTCCAATCGAAAGGTGATTTTTTTGTCGTAAAAGCCGAACCTACTAAACGGAGGTGAAAGGATAGAAAGTAGTTAATACAGATATAAACACTTTTAATGAAACAATCTTCAAATCAAAAATAAATCAGCTACTAACAACCTCATGATCAAAAAAATTGTTTATTGACCTTGAGGCGTTAGTAGTTGTTTTATATCTCACTGTTTAACCAAAACTGCTACAAAAAATGGACTATTTCCGTCATGATTATCTAATTGACTCTTTCTTTGTTAACAAATAGAGCAGGATTGTGAGAAAAAAGTAAATTTAAAAGTTTAGCCTTGGCTTCAACTCTTCATATGTTGACAACAAACAGAAAAATTATGATTTAGGTGGTAATGTACAGCAAAACATATTGCCCCTACAGCAAGAAGCTAAAGAAAATGCTCAATCATTATGCTATTGCTGATCTCAAAGTGGTAGAACTGGATAAACAAAAGGAAATGAAAAACATGCAGGTGAAGAAATCTTCAACACTGGAGTAAATTATCAAAATATAAGACAACTAATAATTCATTACTATCCAGAATGTTCTCAAACGCATGACTGGTCGATCCACTGTGCCACAATTGTTCATTGACGGTGAATTTATTGGTGGCCATGATGAGATGAGACTAATTGTGGATCGAGGAGAACTTCAGGAAATGCTGATGAAGGCGAAAGCTCTATGATGGGAAATCTCAGCTTTTGGTCTAGCTAGGCTCTGCTCCAATGTTCATTTCATGCTTATTTTAATTGCAGTTTTCTCTGAATTTCCATTGTTCAATGCATATTCAGGTACAGAATCCAGGTCAAAGTCATTGCCTGTTATCAATTTGTCTGTCATGTTTTTATTTTGTTCTAATAATTCAAGCTATGTTTGCTGGTCGAAGTATTTTGCTCACCAATGTTTTAGGAGAAATTCCAAATCAGTTTCTTTGATATGTGTTTTATCTTTCTTGTTTCCAAACTTGTATAATTTCAATTCATTTACTGCTTACCGTCACTGTCGATTCTGCTTTTCTTGAGTAAATTATCGAAAAATTAATCAGAATTTCTGATGCAATCTCAGATGATAGCGGTAAGGAAACAGAGACGGATATATCGAAGAAGAAGGAAGTTTAAAGGAAGCGGATAGAG